ATCGAAAGAAGAGAGTGGCTTGGTAATGCACCGCCCATTGAACTGCCTGTATGAGTGAGGGTCATCTGAGGAGTCATACTGGTTTCTGGTTTCTGCCCGTCTCTATGCATGTAGGCAAGCATTGTGCCTTTAAAGCCCAACTGGAAGTGCTCGAGCCCTACAGTTGATTTGTACGTATTGAAGTACTAGACCTTTAAACAGGGTGTTATTATTCAAATTTATAGTTCTTTCATTTCGACGTTCGCTTGACATGCAGAATGTCATTTCCTATATCGTTTTGCATTGCTACTGCATTGTGATATGACTTACAGCGGTCAAAGCCTTCAGGTTTGCTAATTAAAACTTCCTAAAAGACTGTGAAGTTAAGCGTCATGAAGGAGGAAGAGCAATAAGTTCACTTCTTCAATTGGACATGCGGCTTATTCAATTTGGTGAGGTTGAAACTAACTCAAATGCATTTGACTACCCTGCATGTCCTTATGGTTTATAGTGCACATGCAAGGCCTCGAGACTTCCCATTTGGTGGTAGAAGGCACTAGTGATGGCTAAACACTTGTATTTCGAATATACTCATCGTCTGCTGTTTTAGAGTCACGGCACAAGTTTGCTGGCTATTTAAGAGACAAAGTTTCACTTATGCGTTTCACAATTGATAACGACCAAGTACATCTCAACAATTAAAACAACAGGTGAATCCCCTTTTGGAGACGCTTTCTCGCTAAGAATTGAACATTACAATAGTGGTCCTGGCAGCACTTTGTAATAATTTTGCCGAGTTTGTGAGTTCTGTAGTAGTTTATGCGCGTGAAGTGGTGTATTTAGCTGCAAATATCGTATGATGACTTGCTAAGCTTATTCATTATTAGAACCTTTCTTTTCTTTGACATGCTGCCAGTAGCCGAGTTCAGCTTAAAACATTCAACTCAACCATCTTATCTCTCAATTGTCTACTTCATTTAAGTATCGCTTTTGTTTCGAAACTGTCGCGACTTGTTTAGTAAATGGAAAGTCACAATTTTAATTAAGTACAAGAATTCAACATAGCACATGCTTTGTGTCGATGCAAAAATAAATTGTTTAAAAAGGGGATTAATGTGGGTTAATTATTTCAGGTATTAGCGCTGTTTTTGATTATCTTTATTAGATATGACGAAGATAACTTTCCTTCCTTGATTTGAATTAGCTAAGCTATCTTAATTTTGATCGTTGTAGCGATGTCAAATTAATTCGGTCTTTGTCAATGCAGGTGAGACTATCTTGACGGATGTTGAATGTCACATTCAGTGGTGAGAAGTGTTACGTAGGATGTTGAGCGTCGTAAACTCCCTTTGTGTTGCTACTGGACAAATACGGCTGTAATACCTTGTTTGTGTGAGTGCCCGACGTTCGGCGGTCACTTTGAGTTTTGTTTGGCTTTCGAACCATGCTCAGGTCTAGTTGCTTTGTCCTTTTTGTAATACTGCCTTCTTCCACCCGGTGGTAAGTCTCGAGACGCTCCAACTGC